CGGTGTCGATAGACGACTGAAACTGATAGCTTCTATACGTGTTATCGTAAACTAATGTAGTTTTTGAGATTATCGAAAATACATAACATAGCATGCAGGCGCGGCTAGGTACTATATTATAATACAATGTGTTCTGTATATATAATTATATTTTAAAGTAAAATATAGCCTATTTACACGCTGAAAATAAACTTTCTGTACGTACTGTTTAGCTATTATTTTATTTATTAATTGCAATAAATATTTTGTCTATAATATATGAGTTTAGATAAGATTTTTTTTATGTAATTAGAAAAGTAGAAAAGCTGACCTGATGATAACCGTCACATATAAACAGCATTATAGAGATCACGTTATCATGTCACGCTCGTGATACTACTTATCATCCTGGAGAACCAGTAGTCATGATTCTTATACAGTAAATTTGCTAATCTCATTTTACAACAGAAAGTTACAGTTTATAAAGGAAGTTACTTGGTGTCTGAAATATGAGAGATTAAGGTAGTTTTACAGAATTTTTACAGTCTACCTCTGGCAAAACAATTTCAAGAACTTCAGACTCCTGTTTATCGCACAAAGTCAAAGTAGGTGACGAGTATCACGATCAGTTTATTTTCTTGGCGAACCGAAAGTTTAGGTTACCCCCACTATATATGCAAACGAGTACTCTATATATTAATTTTGGTTCACTTTATGTACCTTCAGTGTAAAGTTTTAATTAAGTCGGCGAGTTTTGCCGGGATAATTTACCTTGCCTGCCCTAAACTTGGGTTAGAAGACTTGAAACCAATCTCACTTGTGACAAAGAATACTCAAAAGAAATTTGCATGAGGGAATAGTCTTAAAATGAGAATAGATGATTAATTTAATAGGAAAAGAAAATTAAAGAGAAAAAGTAACAGAATTAAATTTATTTCTTGTTGCCATATCATTAATATAAATAATACAACTATGCTTATGTGATAAGACCGCCTTTTGTACATTACTCTAATTAATGTTCTTTATAATTTACTTCTGGTACAAGAAAGAGTTAATAAATAGGATAGAAAATAATATAAAATTCTTTATTAAAATTAACTGACATTGAAGCTCTTTTGAATAGTCATTATTTAGTGAATAGTTATTAATTAGACTTATTTTTTTAATCTCATTCACAAGAAGAACGACCAAGAAACTTTGTTTACTTGTAACCTTACATTTTAAGTCGAAATATGTGAATATAAGCTACCAACTAACTAAAACTAACTAAATAAAAGTAACGTCGTAGTGTTTTGAGCAGACCAATCCCTATAAGCAGAACTTGTTGACGAGTATATATATATACATAAATGTTTTTTTTTATTTATTTATTTATATATACACTATCATCACAAGCATATGCCCAATACAACAGTGCATCCAATATTACAACAACGGTTTGCTATCATAGCATATAAAATACAATGCGGTCCTTGCGAATACACAGAGACATAGAAAAAAATTCGTTCCAGTTCAACGATGAAATAAATAAATACCTTCGTTATATCAGATAGAGTAGTCAGGAGGCATTATCAATTGTCACTGTCGCGTCGTGGTAAACGGAGTACTTAATATGCCTACATTTCGTAGGCTTTAATATATTTGAGAGCACAACCGACAACGCGAGACTCAACTAAGAAGAATATATTGTATTTAAATCCAATGTGGCAGGGTGTCAGCTCACAGCCTCTCAAATTAGTCTGGTATGTTATCAGTTATTTAATCGCCAGAAAGTAAGCCAGAAATATAAATGAACAAAAGGTTGTTCGATATCAGTCGGATTTGAACTCGTGCTCTTTCTATCAAAGTTATGATATTATGCCACTAGGTTACGACACTCCAATTTCCTTCTACCATTTTAGTTACTATATAAGGAGCATTATAATAATAATAATAATCTTCCTGGCCAATTCACACAGCTCCATCTAGTCCTAAGCCAAGCAGAGCTTGAGATATGGGTACTGATACATACTTACATACATTTTTTGTTAATACATCCATAATATACATAGAAAACACTTAGATCTATACAAAGAATCACACTCATGAGTAAAATTGTGCTCAATGCAATCGAATTCGCGAACATCAGAAGGAAAGTGCTATACCACCTACCCGCTAGACTACTGAGGCCGTTTTATATCATATGTCATGCAAATAAGTATAAATGACAGATGAACATGGTAACTATAATATTTATTGCTACTCCATATTTAATACGATAGTAAAAGTCAATTATGATACGAGAGCTATCACAAATAAAGGACTCAATAAAACTCAATTTGCGAGATTAAAAACAACAATAATAGCAAATCCTAGAGCCGGGCTGAAGTGCACGGAACTACACGTATTTACACGTGATTGCATAACCGTTTTTCAGCAGATATAGTGTTGATTGCGGTTTTTATGGTGACAAGAATAAATGGATGTTGTTAAAAATGCCAAAATATAAAACTACTATTGACGGCCGACCGTTAAAAGTCACTTTTATTTTTTGTATTACTTTTAAAATATTTTGGATACTTTTAGGCGTGTCATGTTTTTGAAAGTCAGAATTGTTTTTCCTGTGGTCGTAGTTCTGGGTATTTGTTATAATGGCGTCGATTTAGCACACCGTTTCAAGGTGCGTTAGGAATCATCACACAATGCAAACATTTAAACATTTACATTCATCGTCTGGGTTTTTTCTATATAGACTGTGTATGTATTTACAAAAGATATGCAGTTCACGAAATACTTTCGGACTTATTATTTAACGGTCAGTGCGGTGTTGTTATAATAATATAAATAGACAACGAAAACCTTAGTGATGTAGTGGTTTAAAACATTGCCTCACCTTTCAATGATCACAGTTTCAAACTTAATAATCTTAATATAAAAAAAAGATTTGTATAATCCTATTTGTAATAAATTTTATCAAAATTCAATTATTATTTAATTAATCAACAGGTGTATTTAGAAGGAAAAGAAAACCGTAAATTAATCCAGGATGGTAACAGGTAAATTTGACGATTACAAAAATTGAAACAAAGCAACCTATGACACATTATTATTAATTTTTAAAAAAAATCTTTTCATTTCCATTCATTATTATTTATTATTAAAAAAAATCTAATCGTATAGTTATTATGTATTCATGCATGTAAGATCGATATATGTATATTGCGTATGAGAAATTGAGGATCTATTGCCAATAAGATAAATTTTATACAACTTCATACCAGACCATAAAACAGCGAAGACAATCATAAACCTTGACAAACCAATAAGAAAAGACAAGTACTCTTATTCATAAATATCAATTTCAAATTCTACGCCACGTCAAATTCAATAGGCATCTATTTAACAATCCTATATTACTGTCTTTCAAATAAAAGAAAATAGCTTGAAAGATTAGGACGAAACAGACTAATACCTAAATTAGCTATTATGAATACATTTTCACAAAACAACGCTACAATATATCTTCAAGAGAGACATCCTACTCAACTTCTGAACTAATTGAGAAACAAATACTTTACACTTATTAACGTTTAATTATCAACCAACGATACGATGATTATGAAACAATGATAATTTTCCATAAATTATTCAATTTTTATAAATTGACATATCCATCACCAAATTTCTAACAGGTTTTCAGTATTTTTACAAAATATATTTACCATTTAATAATATTACCATTCTCACTTTACACTTAGCCATCAAATCGCTTTCAATTACCCAAATAAATTGAATTTCTAAATAAAAATATTGGCGAAAAACAACAAATATAATAAAAGAAATATTGAGAAAAGAATTGAAATGCTTTCTTGTGTTAGATTAATAGCAAAAATTTTCACTCCGTCATAGAATGTCAAAGTCATAAATAGAACGAATATGTAAATAAATTATTTTAAAAAGAATATACAAACGGCTAGTAACATTTTATTTTTTTTTATAGCAAAGAATTTATTGGTGCGGCGTTTTATTTTATATCTTTATCATGTACATATATCGTAAAATAGTAACGAGACAAAAATAATTTGTTTGTCTGTAAGGTTTTACCGTGAAAACGATTGGAGGAATTTGGTTATTTTTATACAGAATATGTTGTTAAATATGGCTATATGTATGAACTAAGAAGGTTAAGAAAACTGACAAAAATACCCAACAATAATTAATTTTATGGATGTTTTTAATACGCCCTTCACAATATTATTAATTAATAAAATAATATATGGTTTCTACATATGTACACAAGGATGATAAAAAATAAGGCAGTTATACAAATACATGTTTTATTCTGTTCATGTTTGATTATCGTCAACAGGTGACAATTCAGAAATATCCATGCGAAGTCGCAGGCATCACTATCTCTATCAAAAAATATTTGCAATATCTTAAAATTTTATACGATCAATCAAAATATGCAAATATGTACAATTTTGTTGACATACAAATTGGTATTTTATTGATAAGTGAATGCAAAATGGAATGCCAAAATTGCTATATTTTTATTAGATACTTATGTATTCACGTCAGTACTAGGCACGTTGAAATATAGTTTTATATTGTTTGCTATTTTTAAAGACGAATTCCTAAGTTAATAATGTCTTCTTGTTTATAAATTACAATATATTTTTTCCAGTTCCTTGGCTAAATTGATTTTATTTGTGAAAATTAAAAATGAAAGTGCCTGTTGCCTGTGCCTGAAAGTGTTCAATGGTAATTATACACTTTGTATGAGTTGTTGTTAGTATAGAATATAATATGACATACAATAATAATGATGATAAATATATAAATTTGCTCTTTGTCCTTATTAAAATAAGAGATCATACATTGTTCCGAGGTGGATATGAATGATAATCTGACTCCAATTTTAAATGATTATATTTTAAAAAGTTACAAATAAATTTTATGCGCACGTCATATGTAGTGGACGTCGAAAAGGGTACAGGCGAGCCAACCTCAACCGGATTGGACCTACAGCGAGCCGATCGCTAGTGTTGTGCGCCGACATCCTCCGGGGCCTTGGAAGCATCGGCTTCCAATGAAGTCTCCTCTGATGGCTCCATCAATGGACAGATATACTTTACAGCACGTCGGAAATTGCCTGCTGCAGTTTTAATTTCAACAACGCGCACCACTCCATCTTGACCTGGAAACAGAGAGCAGATGCGACCCATTCTCCAGCACATGGGAGGGGAGTTATCTTCCTTTAACAGCACCAAATCATTTATTTGAAGCTGTCTATCTGGGATCCGCCATTTCTGCCTTTGCTGCAATTCGGACACATATTCTAACTGCCAGCGTTTCCAAAATTGCTGCCGTAAAAGCTCCAACCGTTGAAAACTGTTTAAACGGTTTATGTTTTTATCCTGCAAACTAGGTGTAGGTAACGACAAAAGTGGTCTTCCAATAAGGAAGTGCCCTGGGGTTAAGGGTTGAAGGTCATCGGGACAGGACGACAAGGGACATAGGGGTCTACTGTTAAGAATTGCCTCAATTTGACTAAACAACGTTGCCAATTCTTCAAATGTGAGATGAGAGTTACCTAAAATCCTCTTTAAATAATATTTTGCTGACTTCACGCCTGCTTCAAATAAACCCCCGAAATGCGGAGCATAAGCTGGTTGAAAATGAAATTTAATACCTTCTTTGGAAGAAAAATCAGAAATGTCATCAGTATTGGCGCTAATAAACTGTCTAATTTCTTTAGAAGCTGCCACAAAATTGCGACCATTATCGCAAAATATATCTAAAGGCTTACCTCTGCGAGAGATAAAACGACGCAGTGATAATATGAACGCATCTTTAGAAAGTTCACTCACGGCTTCCAAGTGCAGACACTTGTATCTAAGACACACAAAAACGCATAGATAACATTTTGTTATTCGAGAACCTTTACCCTTTCTGTTGGTTATAAAGAATGGTCCAGCAAAATCGACACCAGTACTAATGAAAGGAAAATCTGGATTTACGCGTTGCTTGGGTAGTGCACCCATTAATGGTGTTGGTGTTCTACCGCTTGCTCTTCTACATACAGTGCACTGTCTAGCTACAGTACGCGCTAAATCTCTACCAGCTATAGGCCAGACAGATTCTCTAACCGAGGACAGAAGTAGCTGAGGACCAGCATGAAGAAGACGTATATGTTCCCGCTGAAAAAACAACTTGGTAAGTCTATGCTTAGCATGAAGTAACATAGGATGACGTTTATCAAATGTGTAGCAAGAATAATTCAAACGTCCGCCTACTCGCAGGATACCATTACTGTCTATAAAAGGACTCAGTGAACATAGATAATTTTTAGAACTAAGAAATTTATTGTTTCGTAATAATGTTTTTTCATTAGGAAAACTTTGTTCCTGAGCTACTTTAACTAAAAATTCAAACGAGTAATTTAAGTGTTCAGGTTGTAAAATACCAATCTGCTTATTTGAAGGGTATCTACAATTATGTATGAATCGAAACAAATATGCGAAAGTACGTTGTAGACGATTAAAATTTGAAAATCGATCAAAATCTATTATTGATTCTGCACTTTCATTACACATGCTAACATTCACCTTTATTTCAGGCAAATTGTTAACCTGTATCCCTGTTGGAATAGAAGTGGGCCATAAAGAAACATGTTTACGCAAAAATGAAGGACCATGCCACCATAAATCAAAATTAAGAATTTCTTCCGCATTGGCACCACGTGAAGCTAAATCAGCTGGATTTAATGTTGTAGGAATATGACGCCAATCAGCGGTACTAGTTAAATCAAGAATGGCACTGACTCTGTTCGCCACGAAAGTTTTTAGTTTGTCGTATCTCGTACCTAACCAAGCCAATACTATGGACGAATCAGTCCAAAATATCTTACGTGTAATTACACATCGTAAAGCATAACAAACAGCGCTTGTAAGTTGTGCACCTAACAGACATGCACTTAGTTCGAGACGCGGGACAGTTAACGGTTTTACCGGAGTTACCCTAGCCTTAGCACATAGGAGACGAACAGTTATATCACCTTGCTTATTTACAGACCGAAGATAAATGCAAGCAGCATATGCTGACTCTGACGCGTCACAGAAACAATGGAGTTCAACATCTACAGGGGATTCGCACAAAGCATGCCTTGGAATACGTATGTCTTGTATATATTTTATATTATAAATAAATTCTTGCCATAATTTAGCTATATCCTTTGGAGCGGGATCATCCCAGCCAATATTATCCAACCATAATCGTTGGATTAAGATTTTTGGTTTAATAGTAATTGGACTCAACAAACCAAGAGGATCAAAAACTTTACATGAATCTGACAATATAGATCTCTTAGTTGGAATGTCCTTTGAATTTAAATAATTAGTTGGAAAATGTATATAATCTTTGTTAGGATTCCACCCTATACCTAATGTGTGAGATGATGAACTGATAATTAAATCCTTTTGGTCGTTCTGTGAATCGACCAAAATAGACGGTAAGTTCGAACGATATTTGCGTAAGCTAAAGCAACCAGAGGAAAGAGCGCTTTCCACCGACTTCTTAATATACACTAGATCATCTATATTATCACTACCAGTCAACAAATCATCAACCAAAAAATCATTTTGTATTATTAATTTTATATTTAGATTATCACATTGCTCGCCTAACTGCCACAAACAACGTGTACTTAAAAAGCTACTACTAGTGTAACCATAAGTTACAGTATTAAGTCTAAGAGATTTCAGTGGTTCATTTTCATTGAAACGCCATAATATCATTTGTAAATTTCGATCACTGTCCTGAACAGTACATATGTGTATTGACGAAACCTAATTAAAATATTAAATAGAGAATCTTGAATGTAAGGTCCAGTCATTTGTATATCATTAATAGAATAACCAGATGTAGTTTTAGCGCTACCGTTGAATACAACGCGTAGCTTAGTAGATTCACTAGATGGCTTAAATACTGCATGATGAGGAATAAAAAAGGATTGATTCGGAATAAAAACAGGTGATTCCGTCAAATGTCCTAAGTCTGCATACTCCTTAATAAATTCTGAATAAGATTGCTTGAGTATTGGATTTTTCACGAATCGTTTTTCTAAAGCTAAAAATTGTCTTTTGGCTGATCTGAATGAATCTCCCAAACAGTCTGGTGCAGTAATAAGGGGCAATTTAACACAAAATCTACCGTCCTTATTTCTATATGTATTTTTACAAAAATGTTGTTCACATAATATTTCCTCCTCAGTTCTTTTATTATTAACTGTCGGAATCTGTTCCAACTCCCAAAACATCTTTACTGTTTCATTTAAACGATCATTACTAATATCTTTATGTTCAATAGCAAGATTACAAAATACTGAATTAGTGTTCCTGGTATACATTGGACCTGCTAATATCCAACCAAGTTTGGATTTTCGAATTATTGGTTTATTTGGACCAAGTTTAATTTGTTGAGACTCAATCAGGTCCCAAAAGATATCAGTGCCCAATAGCATGTCTATGGGTGCAGATCGATTAAAGTTAGGGTCTGCAAATTGTATATTAGAAGGCAAGTGAAGTTGAGAAATATCAAATGTTTTATTAGGTATATTGCTAGTAATTTGTGGAAGTACAAGACATGATAATTGTATTTTAAAATTTTTATATTTAGATTTTACGTTAACTACACAACGTTCTAACGCATTAGAAGAAAATAAATTACCAACGCCTAATATATCAACCCGGACTGGCAGAGAAGTTAATTGCAATAAGTTTGTCATTCTTTTTGTAATAAGAGAAGACTGACTTCCGCTATCCAACAAGGCTCGAACTGTAATAGACTTATTCGTGGTTGGATTCTGTATTTCTATCAAAGCTGTAGATAGCAAGGCATTGTTACTACAAAAATGATTTGTGAAGCCACATATACTGCTTTCAGAATTATGTCCGGCTGCAGATAAGGCAGTTTCAGTATTAGAAGTAACTGCATGTACCTGAGATGAGTTTACAGGTTGAGAAGACTCCCTATGTAGTAAGGTATTATGACGTCTCTCACAAATAGAACAACGACTTAATCTGCATTGATGTGATGAGTGTCCCTTACGTAAACAATTAAGGCAAACCTTTAACCTTGATGCTTCAGAAATTCTGTCCTCTACTGGCTTGGATAGGAACGATGCACAATCATACAAACGATGGCTACCGCGGCAGAAGACACACGAAGGTGAAGAAGCAGAGGCTTGGGTTTTAGCTGAAACCACAAAAGATTTGGAGTGAGATCTTCTATTTTGATTAAAAGATGAATTATGATCTACCTTTACTTGATCTACACGATCAGGCTTGATGTGATTAAATGATTCTAAAACATCTGCTCGACGCTTAAGAAAACAAAAAAAATCATTTAAAGAAGGCGATTTCTCAAAACTATTTTTATGTTCCTCCCATTTAATACTAGTACTGCCGTCGAGTTTTGCTGAGACTAAATGGATGACAAGAGTATCCCAGGACTGAGTTGGTTCACCTAGTTTATTAAGAGCGCGCAAATTCTTTGATACATGGTCAATTAAAAACCTTATTCCCTTGGCAGAGTCGCGAGTGATAGGCCGAATATTACACAAAGAATTTAAATGATTGTGTATTAACTGCTTCTCGTTGTTGTATCTCTCACATAGGAGATGCCAAGCTTCTTTGTAATTGACAGCACTAACTTCTAAATTACTAATGACACGAGAGGCTTCACCCTCTAGGTAAGAATTTAGATAATGAAATTTGTGGATAGGGTCAATATTATCATTGTTATGTATTAGTGAAGTATATGTGTCTCTGAACTCAATCCATTTAAAATAAGTCCCATCAAAGCTCCCAATTTTTAGAGTGGGAAGTTTAAAGTGAAAGCTCTTATTATGACCACATGACTTATTACAATCTGAACCTGATCCAGAGTGAATCGATTTATAATCATCTACAATCTGATTTTTCTCTAAAATTACTTGAGTCTTAGCAATAAGAGTAGAAAAATCAGTTTCGATTTCCTCTCTTGTATCAAGTTCCGATTCCAAACTATTTGAATTCACAAATTCAATTTGTGATTGACAATCATCAAAAATGGACATTAAGTCTTTAAATCTCTCAAATCTCTGTGTTAACATAAGCAAACTAGTCTTATCATATTTATCATATGAATCAATAAATTTAGTTAAAAAATTACTATATTTTGTTATGCGACCTTTAATTGAACTTCGTTTGGTAATGAGATCCTTTATATTACTAGGATTCATAGTTGGAACATCTAATTTAATGTTCTCTAAAGGTGTTCTCACAGATCGATCTGAGGTGTGTGACATTATAAATATCACTTAAACAATTTACTAAATAAACTTAAAAATGATTGACTATGATAAACTAAAAATGTACGAAAAGAAAAATAAAATAAATGATACGTAAATGTAACCAAGCCGGCCTATGACGATGACGTAATAGATCACTCGACGCACGAAAACAATAGGGCCGGGCGATGCGAGCGCAGCAGCCAGGTAAGCGGTAGGTACTTATTGCAACTGCGCTGGCGCACTGGAATGTGTAAATATTGCAAATGTTATAAAAATGTACCAAACATAAAATGTTAATATTGCATTTATAATATTTATTATTACTTCATAGTGAATAGTAATAAAATTACAATGAAATAACTAACTACTTGAATGTGATATAATTATCTCACTAAAGTATTTGCGTAGCACTAATAATCAAATATGCAACAATCTATATTCTAACTAAATAATACTCAAATAGACAGATACAATAAAACAAAGCTACTAAAATAATTTACTACTACTAAATTAATTTTCTACTTAGGGATTTAGATATCTTTTATATGTTTTACTTAATTATTATACCTACTATTGTTATATTATATACATTAGTATACAATTGTATCTATTCTATTCTATTGGTTATTCACTATAATAGTGTTACAATTATCTATTTTAATCGACTTCTACGTTTCTAAGTTGAGATCGTAGGTAGTTATGATAAAATAATATAAAGAATGTACGAACGTTTATACGATCAACTATTGAAATGTTTAGCTTACAATTAATAGATAAGCTTTTATATAATGTGCTAATAACTACAGGTATACTAAATAATATTAGGTACCCCTAATTTAATAGACTCAAAAAAAAGAATAGAAATTAAATCTACGTAATCAACTTATATGGAAAAAAATCACTAATTAAGGAGTGGCAACTAAAAGCAAATTGAGGCAGAATGATTACAATAATATTAGGTAGGAAAGATAGGATAAGGCACTTCCCTTGCTAAGCTGTGGCTGCGGCACTGCTCGTAGTCTGCTGGTGGACCGGCTGGCTTTAAGCAATTGGTGGATAGCCTTCCGTAATTGTTGATGTATTTTATAGTCGTTGTAACTAGCTTCTCCAGAAACAGATATATAAATTTCTTCAATATATTCCCATGTAATTCTGAGGTAGATGTATATTCTTCTTGCTAAGCGTTAGCTGCGGTGCTTTATTAATACTGTTGACCGGCTGGCTTCAAGCAATATTACTTTATATTCATTGATATCTTGAAAATCACGTCGGGGTCACCATGTTCCGAGGTGGATATGAATGATAATCTGACTCCAATTTTAAATGATTATATTTTAAAAAGTTACAAATAAATTTTATGCGCACGTCATATGTAGTGGACGTCGAAAAGGGTACAGGCGAGCCAACCTCAACCGGATTGGACCTACAGCGAGCCGATCGCTAGTGTTGTGCGCCGACATACATGATTGTCCACTCATTTTATTTACAGAACTCATTTATTTTTTACTATTTTTTTTTTTATAAATAACAAGAGTTGTAAAATTACTAATGTAATTTGTAAATATTATGTTATTACTTATTTTTTGTTAGTCGATGGCTTCGGTGGTCTAGCAGTTTAGCTTTACGTCTGATAGTCGTGGGTTCGATTCCTCGCACGGTGGCATTTTGTATTCATATGATTGTTTATATCGATCTGGGTATTTTTTATGTTATCTATGTATTTACAAAATAATATCTAAGTATTTATATCAGTTATCTAACACCAGCTTTGCTTATCTTGAGACTAGACAACGCTATGTGATCTGTTGAGGTTTACTATTATTATTAGTCCACATATGACAATTATTCTGCCTTAACAAGGAAAAACATGGCTAAAAAGCTAAGATATATGGTACAGTTTGCAAACAAAAAATAATTAAATAAACAACCGCCTTTTTGAAGTCAGAGAAAGTTACATGTAACGAATTCCTTTACAAAGGATGAACATATGTCTTACGGGTTCCTATCTGACTTAAACATTATTGGGTCAAATAAAAGGAGTCGCCAATGGGGCTATTTATGCAAAGTACGGTACTGTACCCCAACCCATACACCAGGCCGACATCGTAAATTCTACATTGTATTACATTTGGTGATTTACGACACTCGGTAGATTAGATATTAGTTAAATTCGGCCCCAGGCCCCACGCTTATTTGTCAACTTAATGTAGTCAGTGATGAATTTAAATGGAGAAGATATAATATGAAATCTCAACGGAGATGACTAGTCCTTTCTTATTTGTCGTATAAAAATCATTTTACTTTTAAGATATAGTTTTTTAGTCTTCTTATATATTTAAAATTGGTTTGTTTGTTAAGTTTTTACGCACTACTATATCGAATCGTTTCGTAGGTTGGACTTTATTTTCGAATTTACCCTCTCGTTTCATCCGCTGTGCGTGTAAAGCCGAGACTACGACAGTAATCAGCCAAGCTCCTCTCTATGAATCCCTCACTATGTATCTTTCACCATGTATCACTCACTATATCTCCCTCACTATGTGTCCCTCACTATGTATCTATACGCCATGTGGTAATTGGTTGAGCATGTGAACACATTGACTAATAACAAATTCTGTTTTGCTTGAAAAATGTATAATATATAAATCAGAATGTATTTGTAAGTTCACATTTGATAACAATGAATCAGTCCTAATAGTGTGGATCGAAATAAAGATTTCGTGATTTGGAGATGAATATAACCTATATTCGGTCAGCTTATCCTGCGGCTTCCTATGTAAGTATATTCCGTAGGACGGTTTTACAACTGTTCCTAATTAGGTACTTTGTTATTTAGTGTTTATGTGGACCATAAAGTCTGCAGACGTGAATTATGGAGCTATGGTTTGCGTAAATTATGGTTTGCTTGATGGAATGACGTAAATTTCAAACTGTTGTACTACGCGCCCTTTTGAATAGTAATGTTTCCATCTTATTTTATAACAAAGTAGATTTTTAACGTAGTAAATATTTACATATTTGCCTGTGTCCTAAATACTACATGTATTGCGATGGAATTTTATGACGATTGGTTCAGCCATTAAAGTGCTATTAGATAACAAATAAACGAATAAATGAAAATTAATGAATTTAAACTTTTCAAGTTAAAAATTAAATAAGTAACTTTAATTTATCTATACAAATAAATAAAATTGAGTGTCTGTTTGTAATTTCAAATTAATAGCTTTTCACTAAATTCATATAGAAGTATATACGGAGATTATATCAAAATCAAAATTTAAAAAAAAACTGTCCGTTTATCTGTTTATTCTTGCTAATCTCTGAAACGGCTGGACCAATTTTTATAAGAATTTTGTTCGCAGATAGATAATATTATAAGGCTAATTACTTAGGCTACTTTTAATGTAGATTTTTATTTGTAAAATTAAATAAAAAAGTTTTATGTCACGTGGACGAAGTCGCGGGTAACGTCCGTTCTAGTGATTCAATCTATCTTCATGCTAAATTTCATTAAGATCAATCCAACCAATTAATAGTGAAAATGTAACGGATGGACAGACAGACAGATTTTGTAGTATGTAGTATGAATTTATCAACTTTATTATTCCACAAGTTAAGTATAATAACCATTTATTGGTAAAAGTTAGTTCGTATATTGATTAGAAGTTATAATAACTCCCTACATTATAAATATGCAGCCATAAAATTATCCGTACAAATTGTTAACAAGCTTTAACACATTATCAAATTAAATTCATCATATTTATATACCACAACGCGTGGTAATTTTCAGTGCGATCGGATGTCACAAAATTTTCGTTTACTTTCCATTTCGTGTTCTATACAGATTATTTCAAATCTGGTTTATCAAATGCTTCGATGTATATCATATACAGCGATATTTTCTTCAATCCATAGGTGTATTACGACTACAGAAAGGGAGAATTTCAGTACGGCTTCAGCCTTCGTGCTGAACGGATGTGTATAGTATATAGGCGATTTTCGCTTCAAAGTTTACATTTTAAAATACGCGATGGTATTTTCAATGAAAAATACTGCAGAATTTTAGTGGACTTTGGACAATAAAACAACATTATTGAATCGTGATAATGTGAAAATAAAGTGTTTGTATTGGAAAATTATTAGTTAAAGAAGTGATTTTTTTTTATAAAAAAGTATAAATATTTTCCCCGATTTTTATAAATCCAGGGACACCAAAGAGGAGTTTCCTGGATAAGGTAATGATTATTACTAATTTTATGTCTTATATAAATAAATAGCTATTAATTTTGTTTGATGACGGAAGTAAAAATATTTTTATTCTGTAGGTTTTTATTTATACAAGTTTTTTATTTTCAGTGATAAAGATTTTTATTATATTTATTTTAGGAAAGATTAACGTAGTAATTTTACATGTTGCTGATCATATTAAATTAATAAACTTCATCAACAGAAATAAATGCAATAAAAAAAGAGAAAATATGGACAAAATTTAAAACATAAAAATTGAAATTTAAATTAGATAATTTGAGTATGAAAAATGGACGTCGAAGTGAGATTAAACCCAAACACTAAAATAAAAGAGAATCCATAGACTTTGAAAGCTTTTCAGCTAGTACTCAACCTAGAAATTTCTTATATTCTAAAACATAGATTTTAGGTAGAGATAGACTTTTTAAAAAGTCGTCTGCTGTCGTACCTCAGTCTTACCTATTTTCGCAGTATCTTGCTTCGGAAGCTATATTTTAATTGAAAGGTAATATGAGGTAGTGAATTACATGATAAGTGACATGACATCTTAGTCCTCCATAATGGGAGTGGTATAGCGGGTGTCACATGATAACACAATGTCGTAGCTGTTTATGTATTCTAGACGGTTACCACTTACCATCAGCTGGTATTCCATTCAAAATTACAAAAAAAAGGCCTTAAAATACTATCTGGATATAATCATTGCAATCGACTACACTACACCATTCTTAAAGTGGAAACGTTTAAAGTACATATTCTACTTATTGTCTGTGGTTTTAATAATATAATCATGTTTGCTGGTTATGCAGATCTTCATTATCACTACATAGTACAAAACAAAGTGGCTGTCGCTGTCTATTCCTATGTATGCTTAAATCTTTAAAACTACACATTTTGCTTATTTTTAATAGTCCGTTCAAGGTTTTATATATGTATATAATAATCATGTTTCTATATTATACGTGGCCTTTTGTTTTAGATCTTCATTATACAATTATTTTAATTACGCTTATTCTAAATATTGTTATTAATTATTACGTATTACATAATAATTGGGAAACTACATAAAAACAACAACCGACAATTTCAATGACGATCGTTTTAGTGTGTGTTGCGTGTACCTTTAACTACCCTCCACATAAAATCTTTACAGTTCATTTTAAAAAAGTCGACAACACTTTAATTTTTTTGAATATTAAGGCACTATTTTTTTAAATATTAAGGTATGTTCTGAATTAGTTTTTATTGTATTATGTAAAAACGACAAATCATTTTTTCAGAACCCGTGATTATATTCCAGGCAAAATCTGAATGAAAACTAAACTAAATTTAAAAAAATGTAAGTCCTTTATAAAATTGTTTACAACTTAAAATAAGTGTTTAATAATTGTATTTTAATTTTAATAATTAATGGAGATGTTACTTAAGAACAAGCTATTCATTGAAATTCATGAATCTCAACATTTCTTACGGCATTTGGCATAGTATCAGGCCAACTAACAGAGATATTTCAACCAAATTCATAAAGGAAAATGTTACTAATTCAATTGTAATTTTTTAAGTTAGATATCTTACGAGATATCTTTACAAATACAAAGTTACAAATATAATAGATTACTCTTGTAATTCAAAAGGTTACAAACCTATACTTACTGATGTTGCTAAATTCGCAAAAGAGAGAGAAAATATTATTAGCAAGAGCAATTGATTAGTTCATATTTTTAATGGATGAATATGGAATGGTGTAACCATTTGCGGTAATGATATAGGCTTATGGACCGCCAATGGATGATGACAGGATGAGCATGAAGTCATAGCAGTTTGTGTATCGTGGTTCAGATTAATCTGGTAGGGTATATTTTATATGGTCATTGCTTTAGGGTTACACTGGATTAGCAGTGACCTTCTGAAATATAACCCTATTGCTAACAATTGTCTCCCACGGTTTCTATCTTTTTACTCATTTATTTCTTTGTACAATAAATTGTATACATAGCGAACTTAATACCAAATGAAAAGATAGGCAAGTTGCTACATACCTACTTTTTTCATTTGGTATTAAGTTAGGAAAGTAATGAAAATTCTAACGATATATTCAAAAATGAGCATTAATCCTCTACTTTAACATCGAAAAGAAAAAAACACAAAGTATCTACTTTTATACTGTAATAGATTAAAAGCATTTTAAACTTTCCACTTACATTCCTACTTAAGATGTTCACAAATTCTGCCGACCCAAAGGGTAATTTGGACTTTCAGACTGGAAGGTCGGTGAAATTGAATTCGTCACTCGTTGGAGGACAAGACTTGTGTACAAAAAGGCATCTTTTTATAAGGCTCTTGTAAAAAAAAACATTCATCTTACTTAGTCTGGCTTTTAGGAGAGGAAATGTGACGTCCACTAATTTGTGTTCACTCAGATTGAAATTTGATTACGTCGCTACTTAGAAAATAGGGATGTTTCGCCAAATTAACTTTTGAAGACTCTTTGGTTTTCTTTTAAACATAGTTACAGGAAACTAACGGCATTCTCTTCTTTAGTCATACACTATTGGTGGTCGTGGCTTTCATGATAGTATCAGTGCATTGTCTTCATTGTCCTTCTTGGTGACAGAGCTCGTCGTAATTTGTTTTTATCTGTTATAATTTGTAGCTGTTTTTATAAGGTCTGTCTATCGCTTTGTTGTTCGAGCCCAAGAATGTTAGCCCTAAACTGAACCTTCGATGACTAGAAACTAACCGCTTGCTTTATTGGAAATAGTAAACATCATCTTCATTATGAATATCATAAAATACAGTGTGATAATCAGGATGTCACGCTTTATCAAGCCGTTATTACAATTCTTGCAACGTACATACGTAAAATGCTATATTGCCCTTAAAATAGAAATACAGATTACAAAGTATGAGCTCTATGGCTGAAATTGGTGAGAGAGAGATCCCCAGGTGATTTTATACAAAGTATACTCCGGTTATTTGTAGCCATATTTATAGGAATAACTACCATCATAACAACCCACTTTCCCTTTAAACCGGAACAGCTTACAAAGCAAGTTCTCAGCGCCGAAAATTGAAATAAAAAACATGTTATTGTAAAAAATTTCGTGTGTTTTCTTAAGTCGAAAATTTAGTAATAGGCATTAAGACAACTTTAATGTAGTTTAAATTGACAACAATAGTGTAATTGTTCCGGCGTCTTCTAAAACCGTAAAAAAATAATAATAATAAGTTGGTAAACCGCCACACTGCTTTTTCCCGCCCCCCTTTCCCCGGCACAATATGGACAATTCGTTATTCGCCGCCATCTAACAAGTGAAACAACCATCGCATGCATCAATTTTAATTAATCAAGGAGCTCCTTAAATATTATAACAAACTGTATTTGTGTCGCGAGTGTGGTGTATTGTAATTGAAAACTTCAAGTGCTTCAAGTCGCCGACGCAGATCAACTATACTATAATTTGTGCAATTTGGGTGAGTTTCTTATTTCCCTTTTCCTACGATCACTGCAGTGTGGCTAAAAAATACAACAGTAATTCTAATTAATAAGATGTGATCGAGCATTGTATGGCCTTCTATTTTATTTTTATAATAAACTTGTAATCAGTAATATTCTTAGTCTCACAAAACATGAATAAGTTGTATAGTTGTAAATAAATAAATAATTGGATATCTAACTCATGAGGTAACTAAGAAATTTAAAATCATTTACACTATGGTTACGTATTATTTTTTAATATAAAGACGTAATAACGTTCAACTATAATCAAACTTTAATTATTTAGTCCTAAAGATAGTGGAGGTTGTAGGTATTTTAAATTAAATAATAATATAAATCCATTAAGTAAAATACTACTACTACTACTACTACTACTACTACTAATTAGTACAAAATACCTAATTATTTTTTCATTCATAATAAATATTATTACCTACTTCACATACCTAATTATTATTTATTACGCCAAAGTATTTATGTATTATAAATTATAACTATAAAAGTTACTCTATATACCGATTCTCTTATGTATAGATGGATGGTAATGAAATCGCCTGATATTATTGATAGAGGGTGAACTTAGAGGCTTGGGAATCTTTGCATCTGTTTCTCAAGTTATAATTATGTACCTAGTCAGTAGGACATCTAAACAATCAATACGAAGTTCTGAGCAGTCGATTGCCTCGAGCGATTTACACTAAGGCCCCGCGTTCTTATTCACAATCATTAATTGAAAACGCGAAGAGCTGACAGCTTCGACTTAATTTTAAATTGAATTTTAACCGATAAGCGAGAGTACTCGATTATTCTTGACATATTATCGATATTCCGTTACCTATCTAATATACGTTTCGTATGTAATCCATCGCATCTATATGTGTTGGAATTGCTTTTATTGGCTTTTTTATATACTGTGTAAGTGGATAATGTAAGCTGTTTCCTTTTTATATGAATATCAAAATATTATTTATGAGTGTTTCATATTCTAGAGAAAACTTATACTCGCGTACTTCTTATTTCTTCTTTTTATTTAACTGAAATGGCAAATACGCTTACAGTCTTCCTTGCGCTGCTATTCGGTTATATTTAACTTGATAGAGAAAGAGTTGCTACCCTTTAATTTCACTGTCATATCTCCACTTTTCAATCGAAATATGGATTATAAAACAAGCTGCAAGGCTGGTGGTTGAAATAAATGAGACTGAGATCCATTCAGATAATTTTGTACAGAGTACATTTGTCTCCTAAAAGACGATGATTTAAACTACACACTTCCTAAACCAATTTGGTACACGGTTATATTGTGCTATGCAGTATATAAAGATTTAAACTGCCAAAAAATGTACCCGCATCTCTACCAAACTGAAGTAGCTAGCCGAACTGTACTGTATTGATAGTAATAAAAAATATGACGTGTACAAGTGGCCGAAAGATCCAAATTAAATAAATATTTTTAAGTTTGAGTTTGAATAAAATTAAAGAACGTTT